TCTCTCTCTCTCTCTCTCTCTCTCAACTTATAAAGAAATTTATTTCTCCCAGTTTGGAGACTGGCAAGTCCCATATCTAGGCGTGGGCATCTGGCTGCGACCTTCATGTTCCATCTTCTTGTGGAGGAGGCAAGAGGGTGAGGGAGGGCCAGACACACAGCAAGGTTCTGGTTTTGACCCAGAGCAGCACCGTACCATTGCACAGACACACAGTCCTTTACCTAGTCAGAACCGTCAGCTTTCCCTGAGGCACAGGAGGCTGAGGGAGGCAGCATCCCTGACTGAGAGTAGACGGGCTTAAGGGCCTGGTGAGCCTCTTCTAGGGCTGGTTCTTCTATTTTCCTGGGTTCTTCCCAGCGTGTCGGGTGTGAGTGGCTGCTGCAGGCCACTGTGAGCTGGGCCTGCCACCTAGTGGCTATACTCTGCCTCCACCAGGCCTCGATGTTGGTCTGGGGTGGGCAAGGCCTGTGCTTCGGTGGGCATGAGTAGGAGTTTGGCATGGACAGGCGGGACGGGCCTTGTCTCTTGCTAACTGAGGCAGCCCTAGAGGGGCCTGGCCGGGGCTAGAACCCAGTTGCCATCTCAGGCCACTCAATAAGGCGTCATTGACCAGAAAGGACGTTCCGCAGGCCTGTGGGCCCATCTTCCTGCCCCAGAAGATTCCCTGCTCTGCACACACCTCCTCCAGTCTCAGGGTCACTGAAGTTGGCTCACGCCCCACTCCTAGTTGCCTGAGGTCTGGGCACTGGGCCACTTCTCACCCTCCAGCCAGAGTTAAACATTAGTGGGAGGCTGTCTGCCCGTCTCTGGGGAGGGCAAGGGAATCACACTCACCAGTCTCCCGTGTGGAGCACCAGTTCCTGCCCGAGCCCAGACAATGCCTGTGGAGGAGTTCATGGCTGGCTGGATCTCTGGTGAGACATTTTTCTTCCTTCTATCACATCTAAGGGTAGGTCACTTCCTAGGGATGGTGGGTGGGTCACTTCCTAGGGATGTGGGTGACATATGAAGAACCGAGGCTAAAGTTCTGATCCCCCTGGAGGCCCGAAAGCCAGCTGTCCCCAGAGCCTCCTGAGAGTCCCGGGGAAGGAGGAGAGGAGAAGAAGGTACAGGCCAGAGGTACAAGCCCTGCATCCCAAGGCTTCTCCGCCTGACACCCACTACAGCAGAGAGCCGAGGAACACCCTGTACCACAGGTCCCCCCAATGGGGCCAGATCCATCTTGCAGGGCCCAAAAGGAAATTCACCTTTGACCTTACCCTACTGTCCTGAGTTCCCCTTTGGGCCTCTGCCCTACCTGGCAATGGGTTGCACCCCTGGGCTCTGAGGCCTGACATGGCGGTTTGTGTACCCAAACCTAGATTCTAGATGACATTCCTCTTGAGAGAAAGGGAAGGACATTCTGAACCCACCTGCTGGGGAGGCAGCCTCAAGCTTCAGAGCAAGCCTGAGCTGTGCAGGATGAGGCTGGGAAGTGGGAGGTGGGGTCTCCTCCCCAGGTGCCAGCCAGATTCCTGGAGGGACCCTCCAGCTCTGCACTGCAGCCCGAGTAGCGAGTGCCAGGGAGGCACGATCTCTGGAGCAAGGCCACAACACTGTGAGATGGAGGAAGGTGCCAGGTGGAGATTCCTTCCAGACCCTGTGTTCTATAGTCAGTGTGAACAGCGTCTGCAGTGGGCCCTTCCCTTCTGCATGTGTCTCCTCAGGTGGGGCCCAGGGTCTCAGTCCTTCAACCTTCCTGGCCCAGCACATAGCATGGCAGGGTCGGGCAGCGCCAGCTGGAGTCTCCTTGAAGTCTGGAGGGCAGGTGGACAGTCTGAGAAGGCCTAGCCTCCTTCTTCCTGCCTGAATCCCTCTTTCCTCTCACACAGACTTGCTTCCTGGGCCTGGCATGAGCCCTTACTCATAGCACCTTCTTGTCACCACAGGAGCTCTGGGCCTGGTCCTGGGACATCCCTTTGACACCGTGAAGGTGAGTCAGGAGAGGCACCGAGGACTGGACTGTCTCACTTGAACAGAACATCATGTGGCCCAGATCAGGCCTGGCTGAGAGGGGCTCACTCTGCCTCGCCTACCCACTGGCTTCCTGCTCCAAGGGGCCGAGGGCAGAGCTGGCTGCCTGGCATGGATGCAGCCCTGACTGGTTCACCTGCCCCACCTGCCCTGTCCTCCCTATGCAGGTGCGACTTCAGACCCAGACCAGCTACCGGGGCATCATGGACTGTACGGTCAAGATTTACCGCCATGAGTCGGTGGGTGAATCAGCTCTTTGGGGTGGAGGCTCTGGGGCAGGTGGCACAGGTTTCCTTTTCCTCCCAGCAGGGCTCTGCCCTCCGAAACAAAAGACCACGTTTGGGCTCGTTGGGAGCACTGGGTGGTAGCTTAGCCCCTTCAGGATAGAGCCAGGCCTTCCCAACCTCATCACCCCACCTCCCTGGGATAGGGCTTAGTAGTGGGGAGTGGGGGGGAGGGAGGAGACCTTGCTGGGCTGGTAAGGGGAGAGGGTAGGCCCGCCGTGCCTACTTCAGTGCCACCATGTTGCCCCGCAGCTCCTGGGCTTCTTCAAGGGAATGAGCTTCCCCATCGCCAGCATACCTGTGGTCAACTCTGTCCTGTTCGGGGTCTACAGCAACACCCTGCTGGCACTCACAGCCACCTCCCACCAGGAGCGGCGGGCCCAGCCCCCCAGCTACACACATGTCTTCATAGCAGGCTGCACCGGTGGTGTCCTGCAGGTGAGTGGGTGGCACGTGGACATACACACAGGTGGTACTGTGCTGACCAGAGGGGTCTGTCTCCTCCCTAACCCTCTGATGACTCAGAGCTACAGATGGGCAGGCCTTGCTGAAAGCCATGTGGTGCTGTTGCTCCTGGTGGCCTAACCAGGCTGCCCACCTGAGGGTGGAGAACAGAGCAGGCAAAAGGCAGAAAGAGTTGGTTGGCAGTGCCAAGAGGAGGCCATAGAGGACAAGCTGGAGCCTGCTCTCGAGCTGACAGGACTTGTCCACCTCCAGAGGGGTCTGCCAACCCCAGCTCTGTGGGAAGACTACTCCCCATGGTGACCTTTGACCCTGAACAACAATTAGTCCCCACAGAGCTCAAAGCCCAGCCCTGCCTGGCTGAGGCCCTTGCCCTCAGCAACTGGTGGCCACTATCTGGGAGCCTCACCTGAGGCTCCAGGCCACACATCTCACTGGGAGAGGCCCAGGATATTAATCATTAAGTCGCTGCAGTCATTTGGTTTTGTTCTCAGCACTGTAGTTCATGGGCTTTTGAGGGGTGGGGTGGAGGCAAGAGGGAATCTGAACAGAAAGAGGCAGAGGGACTGGTTCTGTCCCACACCCCAGCTGGTCACCTGCCTTGATGCCCTTGACACATTTCATGGAGCAGAGAGCAAGACCCGAGGACAAAGTCAAGCTGCATATTAAGTTAATTAATGATTAACGAGACCCCCAGAAGTCTTGACGATTCTGTCCCTTCTTGTGTGGCAGCCATGACTACCTATCTCTAAGCCCCAAGCTCTATACTCTGCAAAAACAATAAAGAGAACCCAGACACTCAGAAAGTGGCCTGACTTAGGCCCAGTCAGGCCCTGCTCCTCAGGTGTCTAGAAAGCAAAATAGAGGACAGTCAGGGCCATGGATAGAGACTGGGTCCAAGGGCTGACTGGAGCCTGGGATTCATGTCAAGCCTATGGTTTTGGCATAACAGGTCTTGAAGCAGAATTGTGTCTTAGTGAGCAGGTGGGAGGAAGAGGGAGACACCAACAGCCTCTGACGCGCACGGACGTTGTTCTCGACCTGGCAGAGGCTGACGGCTCACTGGGGAAAGAACACCTGGTGCTCCGTGGCCCCCACCACACAGCACTTTCCTCAGCCCTCAGGAGACCAGGCTCAGGAAACCACCCTGGCCAAGGGCTCAGCTCAGCCAACAGGCTCTGGAGGGCAGCATTAGGGCCTGTCTCACAAAGGGGGTCCCCAGCCCACAACCCTGCCTGCTGAGACAAAACTAAAAGTATGGCTTGCTGTTTATCAAAACCTACCTCCAGGGCTGATCTCCAACCCCCTCCACCACCAGCCATGTCTAAAGCTGAGGAGTTGGGCTCAGGTGGCTCCTCCCAAGACACATATGCACCTGAGCCTGGAACCACAGTGCACGCCTCCAAACCCATAGGCTCAGGAGCTGAGGCAGGAGGATCGCGAGTTCAAAGCCAACCTCAGCAAAAGCAGGCACTAACTGCAACTCCGTAAGACCCTGTCTCTAAATAAAATACAAAATAGGGCTGGGGATGTGGCTCAGTGGTCGAGTGCCCCTGAGTTTAATCCCCCGTCACCCCCCCAAAAAAAAAAACAAAACAAAAAAACCCCACACATGTCCCCAGCAACATGCCACCCTCAGCCTGGACCCAGCTCTCACCTGAACTTCAGCAGCTTATCTGAACAATTGTGTCCCTGACCCAACTCCACCCCTCCGCCTCCTTTCTGTGTCCCCTCAGTGCCCACCCTCACCAGGGGCCCTGTCCCATTTCTACCCCAAATCTTTCTTGTCTACCTAAGACAATGACAAGAATTCTATGACCTGCTGAATCCCACCCATCACAGGGCTTGGTGAGAGACAGGAAGGGCTGCCCAGTGGTGGCCTCAGGCCTCTGAGAGGTGACACACAGAGGAAGGGGGAGAAGCTGTGAAGCTGGGCCCTGTAACTAGAACAATGACACTGAGGTGACCTCCTTCACCCTGGGGAGGGCCTGTTCTTTGGTGTTTCATGGTCACAGACTGAACCCTTTATTCAGCCCAGTTACTGCAAATGCCTGCACATCCCTGGATCTTGGGAGGCCAGACACTCACTCCCACTCCTGGAAAAACAATCCGGGCTTGTCCTCTCGGGCCTGGTGCCTGCCAGGCAAGCTTGGTGCTCTGCATGAGGCAGGGACCAAGCCTGATACCCAGGGAGGTGGCCTGTCCTCCTGCATCAGAAGGCCCTGGCCCATGCCCAGCCATGTGTGGGAGAGGCCCCAGTGTGGTCCCCACAGGCTGATGCAGCCCCTCTGCCCATCCTTCCTCTTTTGTCTTAAGGGACAGTTACCAGCCCAAGCCCTGCTTGTTTCCTTCCCAACAGTCCTACTGCCTGGCCCCATTTGACCTCATCAAAGTCCGACTACAAAACCAGACGGAGTCAAGGGTGCAGCCAGGGAGCCCTCGACCCCGGTACCAGGGGCCCGTGCACTGCGCAGCCACCATCTTCCGGGAAGAGGGTCCACGGGGACTGTTCCGAGGAGCCTGGGCCCTAATGCTGAGGGACACCCCCACGTTGGGAATCTACTTTGTCACCTATGAAGGGCTCTGTCGCCAGTACACTCCAGATGGCCAGACCCCTAGTAAGTGAAGTGGAGAGAGGGTGGGGGGCTGGGGAGGGAGGGGGTGCTCTTTTTCCCATCTGACCCCACCCTGGGCTTCCTCTACCCCAGGCTCAGCCACAGTGCTGGTGGCCGGGGGCTTTGCAGGCATTGCCTCCTGGGTGACAGCCACGCCCTTCGACGTGATCAAGTCCCGGATGCAGATGGATGGCCTGGGACGCAGAGCCTACCAGGGGTTGCTGGACTGCACGGTGAGCAGCTTCCGGCAGGAGGGACTGGGGGTCTTCTTCCGGGGGCTTACCATCAACAGTGCCCGCGCCTTTCCGGTCAACGCTGTCACCTTCCTCAGCTATGAGTATTTCCTGCACTCACGGGGATGAGCCTGGCGGGCACTGCCAGCAGCTCCCCCACAGGACCCTGAGGGCAAGACGGGAAGCCAAGCTGAGAGCACCCAGCTTGAACTCAAATGCAAGGGGCTTGGCCTCTCTGAGGCCGGGCACCTCCAACCACCCAGACCAGGCTGCAGGACACCTGAGCAGAAAGCCATGATCCTGGCTTCTACCCAGCACCACTCACCTAGACTCCTTTTCTTCCCTGAACCAGGAAGCACAAGTGGTGCTGGTGACAGCCTAGCCCAGTTCTGCCAGGTCCCGTCTTTTTTTTTTTTTTTTTTTTATGAGGTATTAAACCCAAGGGCGTTTAATACCTCAGCCACATCCCAGCCCTTTTTATTTTTCATTTTGAGACAGGGTCTCAGTAGGTTGCTTACAGCTGTGGAGGCTGGCTTTGAACCTGTGATCCTCCTACCTCAGCCTCCTGAGTTGCTGGGATTTCAGGTGGGCACCACCGTGTCTGGCTGCCATGTCCCCTCTTCAGTCACTGAATTCCTCCCAGAAACTGGAGGTGGCTTCCACGCCACCCTCCCCCTGGGGTCCAGTAACAGCACACTGAGTTCTTCTTCCCATCCACTCCTTTCAAAGCTCTCCTCCCATGACTGTAGCGTGGTGTGACCTTTTGTCCATCCCCATCCAGAATCCTTCAAGGGCTTCCATTACCTTGGGGAAAATTCCAAACCCCACCACTACCTGGCCGTCCCTCCCCACTAGGCTTTCCTCTCCCTTGGTCACTTCGTGGACATGAACAAGCTGTGTTCACTGTGGCCCAGGCCTGGGAGGCTCATCCCCGCTGGCCATCGGGGGCAGTGATTCTTCAGCTGACCCCACTGTCCTCCAAGACACAGCAGAGCACTGTCTCCAGGGTACTTCCTGCCCTGCCCACGCTGACTCTGAGCTTCCAGGGCCCCAGCCCACCTGCACTGCTCTGTGTTTGATTTGCTACTTGGCTTCTCCATTGGTGTGTGAGCGCCTTGTGTCTCTCAGCACAACCCCGATGCTTGAACAGATGTATTCACTAAGTGCTCATTAAATGAAATGCTGATTGCACCCCTGACCTGTCTCCCAACTCCAGCCACCACACCTGTTCCCTCGGTCCTGCCACACACAGCTGGCTCCTGTGCCTCCCAACCTCTATTTGCATGCCCTGACCTCTCCAAGTCATCTCCAGGGAAGGGGTACAGAGGTTGGGGTTCCACCTCATCCACACCCATCCCACATCTTCTTTTCCCATCTCACTTGCCAGGTGGGAATTAAGAATTGGCTAAGAGGATCCCTTTCGTTGACAATAAAGCTCAACATAGCCTGTACCCTCACTAATGTCCTAATCTGGTCTGCAATCAACCTGAGGCACCCTGTGGTGACTGAATTCCTGCCATTGATTGGGTGCCCCCTGTAGACCCTATCCCATGTAACTGTCACAGTTTACAGAGGAGGTGGCCTTGGCTCAGAGATATTTTGCAACTTGTCCCAGGTCACACAGCTCGAAGTCACAACTTGCCTGGATGCATCTGAGCCTCCAATCCCAGAGCCCATTTCCTTTGTACCTTGCTCCACCTAGCACTTTGGCTATCTCCATGAGTCACCTAAGTTCCAACTGACGTAGGCCACACCTGCCAGGACTGACCCTCTATGTGCTCATCGGAACCCTCCTCCATGCCTGTATGCTGGCAGCCATCTTGAAGGTTCTCCCATGTTCAGAGCGTGGCTGGGCAGGTGGCCCTGAGCAGGGCTGCATTTTCTAGCCTCCCTTGCAGCTAGGGTTTCGTTTCGTTTCTTTTCTTTTCTTTTCTTTTCTTTTCTTTCTTTCTTTCTTTCTTTCTTTCTTTCTTTCCTTCCTTCCTTCCTTCCTTCCTTCCTTCCTTCCTTCCTTCTTTCCTTTCTTCCTTCCTTCCTTCCTTTCTTCCTTCCTTTCTTTCTTTCTTTCTTTCTTTTTTTGGCAGGGGGTACCAGAGATTGAACTCAGGGGCACTTAACCCCTGAGCCACATCCCCCGTCCTATTTTCTGTATTTTATTTAGAGACAGAGTCTCAGTGAGTTGCTTAGTGCCTCACTTTTTGCTGGGGCTGGCAATCCTCCCATCTCAGCCTCCCGAGCTGCTGGGATTACAGGTGTGTGCCATCATGCCCGGCAGGGTTAGTATTTTGTTAGAGAAACAAAGCGATGTGTGCAAATTTCCCCTCACTGGCTCCAAAGGAAAATCCTTCCAGTTGGTAGAAGTGACTAGACTGACCCTAGAAGGTTGCTGCCAAAGATGCAGGAGGTACCCTGCTGGCCTAGAACCTGGGTGAGGCCCACAGCCCACCTCTCCACTTCACCCCAGCTAAGCCAGGGTAAGGGGCCATGAGTATATAGTCTATGCTAATCCAAGTGTGTTGTGTGGGGGGCAGTTGAGCCAGGAAGAAGGTCCTGCCCACTTCACACCCGCCAATCCAGATCTCTGGGGACAGGGCCCAGGAATCTGTATTATAGAAAGCTTTCCTGGTGATTTTTACTCACATGAAAGTTTAAGAATCAGTGTTCCAGGTGTTCCTGAACAGAAATGTGCTGCCCTGTCAAGCTGAGAAAGTTGTATGGTAGGAGCCTTTGAACTAGTTTTTAGAAATCTCTGTTCCTCTTTTGGAAAAAATAGTCACCTTGAGACCAGTTCTCAGGTGACTTGAGACTAGCACAGCCCTTTCTGCTTTCTGCCTCAGTTTTCTCTCTGAGATTCCCTTCGGGTAAGGCAGTTTGGGGCTGGTACAGTGCCACTGCAGTACCAGGAGTTTCAGGCTGGACAGGACAGTGGGGGCATAGCAGACGCTGGGCCACTGGGACAGTAGGCTGCTCTAGGGAAGTAAACCGCACACGTGGAAGAGCAGATGGCTTTTATAAATGGCCAGGAGGGGACAGAAGAACCTGAGTGGCCCTTTGTAGTTTGCAATTTCTCACCAAATGACAGCTATCAAGAGTAAAATCAAGGAATCCTTATTTTTAAAAAAATCCTTTTGGAGTAGTAATTGTGCCTGTACATTTGGGCTTCTATCTTTCTTCTCTGGTTCTACCCAGAGGCCTCTCTGGCAGGGCCTGAACTCATAATTTAAAACGAGAGGGGGACATGGCAGGGTGCAGGAGGGGCCACCGAGTTCCAGGTGCGGGTCCTTTCCACTCACGCACAGCAGGGCTGCTAGCTGGGCTGTGAGGTCCTCAGGGTGAAGCACGGGGCCATCTGTGGTAAAACTGCTCCTCTTGCATGGAGGAGCGCAGGGAGAGTCAGGCACTGTTAGAAAACTGAAAAACCAACAAAGATCAGGCAGGAAATGACTCAAGTTTTTTCATTCTCTTTTTCTCATGCTGGGGATGGAACCCAGGGCCTTCTCTGTGCCGGGAGAGTCAGTGACTACTGAGCTACCCCCCAGGCCGGGGTGGCCGTTAAGTTCAGGAACTCTTGAGAGAGCAATCCCTAAGAAATAGGACTCTTGGTGAAGTGGCTTTCAGGTTACCAAGGGGCAGGGAGGCTTGGCGTACAGAGCTGGCAACTGAGACCAATATGTTAAGTAGAGTCCCGTAGGACTTGTGTTGTCAGATGTCATACTTAGTTTTATAGCACTGGCGGAGGAGCTCCAGGGGAGACTCAGGCATGGAGTGCTACAGTGGCTACATATAAAGGGGAGAGGGATGGAGCTGGGGCTGTAGCTCAGTGGTAGAGCGCTTGCTTTGCACGTGTGAGGCACTGGGTTCGATCCTCAGCACCACATAAAAATAAATAAAGATAATGTGTTCATTTACAACTAAGAAAATATTTAATAAAATAAAATAAAGGGGAGAGGGCACAGCTGGGGGTGACTGGCTCAAGTTTACCACACTCACTCAACAGCTAGGCCCAGAGGATTCAGTCTCTGGATATGACTCCATTGGTGTCCCCAGCCTGTCCCCAACCTGCACCAGGTCCATCCTGGTGCCTCTTGTATCCCAGAGGTGCTTCGAATTACACCCCTAGCCTGGCCCTTCTGCAGAGCTCAAAGTCACAGGTGTCCCAAAGCAGCTGTCATCAACACAGACCAGACACATTTGTGTTTTTCCACAATGTCACTATTCATTGACAGGCTACACCATTTCCACAAGGGGCAGTTCACTGAATCCTTGTGGGTCACCTGGTTCATAAGCCCGGCAATCACAAGTTCTCTTATTCCCATCTTAATTTCTAACATCTGTAACACTCAAGTCACCCCACACCTCACACAATGATGAGGGTGGGATTCAGAAAGGCTAAGAGAGGGTCAAGGGAGCCACAGGGTTCAGAAGGCAGAGAGCAGATACAAGGCAAAGCATCCCTAGGTAGTCAGATAAGATTAGGAGCAGCCAAAAGCTGGTTCAGAGCAGTCGAAGCTTAGGAAGTTATTCTAGGCCAAGGTCTGGACAGACCAGGTGGCAGTTTCCAAGTCAGTTTGGAGTGGGCCATGCGTGGCCACAGGCAGAAGGAACCACACTCTGCTAAAGAGACCAAGGGCAGAGATTCAGAGGTTCATCACTGTGATTTTCCTGATGTCCAGTCTCGGGGTGCTTCTCCTTTTTTATGGGCCTCAGGTGAAGGGGTTCCTTCCTTTGGTGGTCTGGTGTGTTCAATAAGCTCGGGAGCCTGTTTTTTTCCAATATGAGTTTGACACACCCATGCATCCCTGTGCTTCTGATAACTCACTAGGTCATTCTATTAGCACAATTAACTTATTTATTGCTTTATGCCTCTGGTTGTGCCAGGCAGATGGTGGTTGTCTACTTATACAAACAAGGTGTGGAGTCCTTCCCCCTTGGCACTTAAGCTCACGGCAAACGACTGCTTTACAAAGTGGAGTCGCTGAGGTTTAGGCACAGCCTGAAAACTGCTGTTCCATAAGTTGTGGAGTAACTCAGGGCAGGGCACAGCCTGCTGTCCCCAGCAGCTCTCTCCTCTCCCCTCACATCAGAATCCCTAACTCCTGCTGATTGTACTTTGAAGTTTTCTGGGGTCTACTCCCTCATTTCCAATCCTAATATCACAGCTCCAGTCCTGTCCCGAATCTGAACAAATAACTATTGAAATGGAATTCTGATCAAGTCACCCTGCTCTTCAGTGGCTTCCCTTTGCTCTAAGGAATCATGTCTACTCCTTTCCCCAGCCTGCAGAGCCTACATACATTCTACTTGCTCTTGTCTTGGGTCCTTAATACTGGGCTTCCTCCCACCACAGGACATTTACACATGTTCTTCTCACTACTTATGGACCTTCCACTCATCTTTCAGCTCTAAGTTCCATATAGCTTCCTCTATCTAAGTCAGATTCCTTTGGCTTATGTCAGAGGTTCAGAATTACCTAGAAGTTTTTTTAAAGTACAGATTGGTGAGGGCTGGGGATGTGGCTCAAGCGGTAGCGCGCTCGCCTGGCATGCGTGCGGCCCGGGTTTGATCCTCAGCACCACATAAAAACAAAGATGTTGTGTCTGCCGATAACTAAAAAATAAATATTAAAATTCCCCACCCCCCCTCTCTTTAAAAAAAAAAAAAAAGTACAGATTGGTGAGTCCTACTCCTGAGTTTCTGATTCAGTAAATTTGTGGTGGGCCCCAAAATTTGCATTTCATGAAGTTCCCAGATGCTGCTAATGCTGCAGGTGTGAGCCACCAAAGCACGTGCTTTCATGACCACCCCCCAGTCTGTAATTAAACATTCTCCTCTGTGTGGCTCTTTGATTATATCTGTCTCTCCTTTAAACTGTGAGCTCCAGGGAGCAGAGACCTTGCTTCTTTTTGCTCTATAATCAAAACTAGCTGCCAGGCAGGGTTATTCAATAATTTGCCATGGGGAAGTAGCGAATGTCTGTAATCCCAGCAACTCTGGAGGTTGAGGCAGGAGGATCCCAAGTTGGAGGCCAGCCTGGCAACTTAGAGAGGCCCAAAGCAACTGAGCAAGACCTGTCTCTAAATAAAAAAATAAAAAGGGCTAGAGATGTTGCTCAGTGGTTAAGCACCACTGAGTTCAATCCCCAGTACCAAAAATAAATAAATAAATAAATTGATAAACAAACAAAATTGTTGAATGAATGAATGACAGAAGCTGGTTTTCCAGACTTCTTTTCTGGCAGGCTAGTGCTCTAGATTTTATGTGGAGCCTCATACTATTACCAGCAGGCTTGAGCAAAGGTCCTGGAGGTCCCAGTAGACCAGGCTCGGCCACCCATCTCACCATGCCAGTTGAAGAGCTGAACAGTGTTAAAGGGCAGGAAAGGTCTTTAGCCAGCATGGCCATGCCAGGAGGACCAGATATAGAGAGGTACAATGACCAGAGACCTCCCAGGGACTGA